GCAAGCAATACAAAATAATTTTGTCCCATCAGCATAAAAATCATCTTTGTAATTTTTTTCTTTGGCTCTTTGGAAAGTGGAAACAACCATTTTTTATTTTTTTTATTTATGTAGTACAATTATGCAAATTATGCAACAAATTGTCAATTATGTGTTGCATAAATTATGCATTAAAAATCCAAATTATGCGAAAATTATGCAAACACATAAACCTGGGGTCTCTACTACAGTAGATGACAGTAAAAGCCATCAACTATTATTGGCTTATCAAAAATTGTATCTGCTCCTCAGGGACAATCAATTTTAAAAAAATAATTGCAACAAATGATTATTTAGAAGTCAGAGAATAATTTGTTGCAGCTGGATTATTTTTTTTAGACTTGCTAGCAAAAGTTACAAGGGTTTAAAATTTCACTATTTTGTAAAAAATATATATTAATATATATTTTCAAAATTTGCCATTGTTCAAAATGCCAAAATACACAAAAAAATGAAATCACTTCTTTCAAACTTACAAAAAGCTAACAAAACTTGTCATTCAAAAGCTTCTAAACTTGATCTTTCTTTACAAGAAGAAATTCTAGTCAACACTGATTTGCCCCTTTCTTCTCAAAAACATTCTTCAATTGTTGATTTACCTCTTTCTTTACCTGAATTTTCTGATGATGATGAAATAATTGACTTGGAAGCCCCTGAATATGATAATGAAAATACTAACATAAATATTATTGAAGATAATAATATAGGTGAAACCTCTAAGAAGAAAAATCATCGAGTTTATTATACAGGTGTTGCTCCCAGAACAATTAGATATTAAATTGATACATATGTTTGTATGTGAAATTCGAATTGATTTATTATGATAGTTTTACTAAATTTTATTGGCTAAAATTTGTGCACGTGATAAATTCTAAACTCAAAATTTGCCGCACCCCTTGTATCACTTGATGGCCTTTAATGTCGTCCACTGTAGTGATATTCGAATGTCCACCATGCTGACTATTCCAATGTGGCGCATAACACCCCTTGTTCCATTGAGTATTCCAGTGGTGTTCCAGTGTTCCATATTCCAGTTATTTGTCACTGGAATAAAAATTTAACATCCCTGGTGCCCACCGATCACTAATTAAAAATTTTTTTACAAAATCATCCGTGATTTCCGATTTAATTTCTAAATATGTTTAGCCTACTCAACTCGCCAATAAAATGTTGCATATTTTGGTGGAAAATACACTTATTTTTTTTTGTAAATTCGAGTTAAATTCAGGTCAAACTCGGGTTATTGTAAATTACAACCCGATCCCGATCTGAAGTTGTTCGACGTTAAGACCAAACCCGATGCAGGCCTCTAATTCGAGCAACAAAACGTTCCTTCCTTTTGACAACAGTCCAATCCTTATCATCATTTGATAATATTCATATCAGTATCAGGGTATTATCAACATTAACACGTTCATTTTGCAATTTTCATGATTTTCCATTGTCTACCAAAGAACTGGCAGACACACAAGATATTTAAGTTTACACTTTAGTTAATAAAAAACTACGAAACAGTATTTTGAAGTTTATTGAACCATAAGAACATTCTAAACAGGGGTATTTATTATATGATTTTTATATATATTTTTTTTTTCGCGTCAAAAAAATTTTTTTGCTCTACTATTATCACGTGAATTATCCATGAAATCGACCAATCAAAAAAAAATATTAAAAAGTTCTGACTTTGTCGTTTTAGATTTATAAAAAATGAGTGAAGAAGCTATATCAATTCGTTCAAAAAATTTATCAACAGCTAAACAATCAGATCTTGATGTTAAAGATATGCCAGAGACAGCATTTATTATAGCGTTTTGTGTCAAGTACGAAAAGTCAATTCAGCATTTGTTTTTTTGGCCAGAGGTTTGTTTGATTTTATGTTTAATATAAGTAAATTACACCAAATAAATTGAATCTTCTGTTTAATTTAGGACTTTGAGGAAGCGCTCAGAAGTAAACATGAAAATCCATTGATAACATGGCTCCTGCGTTATTTTTTACAGCATGCAGAAAATAGGCCAAAAATAACCGAGTAAACTTTGATATTTCATCGTAAAAAAAATATAATTAACAAATGGCCATTGTTAAAAATTTCATTTTGAAAATATAGTTCACGTAATTGGAAAAACGCCTTTTCTACCTTTATTGATAAACGAATTGAAAACGAGGAATTTTTTTTGAATTACAATCCTTTAGATTCTGTAAATAATGATTTCTTTGCTTTAAAACCAAAAATGAAGGTAATTAATATATTATTATTTTAAAGCAAGTAGAAGTAATGATTTTATATTATATACAAACATTTTTTTAAAAAAACTTAATATAATAATAAATTGTTTGTAGGTTTATCTCCTCTATTATTTAGTTAAATACCAACTTATTTATTCTACAAGGATCAAAGAATTTTTGGAAGAGCTTAAATTGTTATCTAATACTGATCCATTTGATCCTCTGGCAATTGAGTCACTGGGTACTGATAGTGCTAATGGTAACTTTTTGTATATTGGAAGTAAGTAATTCAATATATTAAATAAAAAATTTTTTTTTGCTAATTATCATTAAATTTTTTTAATTAAATAATAGTTGGATCACGTATTTATCGTGAATCTATTACGTCTTCTGGAATAAAGTGGGAGGTAATATCAACAACAGTAACAGACATAGCTGAATATGTTAAAAATAAATTGGATCCATCAAGATCAGAGAATGAACGTCAACTTCATGACAAACTTCTTTATCAAATATTGCCTTATTTAGCCCCATTAGCAAAGGTAATTGTCATATAATTTTGAAATAATTTAGGCGCTGATGTGACACTGAATTTTGACTTTGCTGCCTTTTATAGTTGCGATATTTTAACATTTTTATATCAAAAAAAAAAATTTTTTTATATAGGAACAAACACTTTCTAGAAACGAAAGGTATGCAAAAATAAGGGAACGTGAAATTGCCAAAGGCCGAAAGAATTTTTGGGCTTGGTCTAATAATATAATAGTGGACGTTGAGGACGATGAGGACGATGCACAAATAACTAAAAGAAAAAGAAACTCGTCTTATAGATCTATTCATAATACAAAACGGCATAAAATTACAGCATTTAATAATGATGATGATGATGATGATGATGATAATAATAGTAATAATAATAATAATAATAATAATAATAATAATAATAATAATAATAATAATAATAATAGTAATAATA